TTGCTTCCTTGAGTCTCACCAATCACCCACTTTGCCCACAAGGTGGCAGTCTTTCCTTTAAATACAGGTTGTGGTGGCCTCAAATTCAAGAATGAAGCAGGTCAGTGAACCTGCTTGGGTTTTTGTTTGTTTGTTTGTTTTGAGCAGGGACAGCTTGACCTGGAGGACCACAGCTGAAAAGTTCATAGAATGTGTATCCCTACCCCTCCAGAGCTAAATGTATGGAAGGGATGGGGGTTTAGGGTGTGTACGCCGCCCATGGGAGCAGCACATGGCAAAGGTAGAAATGTGGTTATTATGGGAAGTGGTACACATTTATAGTGGCGATAGAATCGTTCTGGCTGGCCACATAAAAACTGGGTCTGACAATCAAATACATATGTATGTACCCACTCAGCATAAAACTTGACCTCTTCCTTCTCGACTCATGTTATTCTAGCATCCAGAAATGACTGTTCTAATCTTGAGTTTCTCCGGTGGTCTAGAGACACAACTCTCCTCGGAATCATAACTTTCCTTCTAGAAGCCACTCTATTTGGAACATTAACTGCATCGGTTTTGATTTTCCTGTGGGAGGCAGCATTGTATAGCAAAAAGAAGGCTCTGGCCTGCAAGCCAGTTCTGGGACTGGCTAATTGACGCTGGACAGGGGCTAAAATACTCTGAGCTCTGAGCCCTTTACTTTTTAACTTCGAGGCTAGAATCCCTCTCAGTGGCTGGTGTGAGACTTTGATGTAAGCAGCGAGCGTTACATCTTGTGCAGCATCTGGCTCATAGTAGCACAATGGCATGGTCACGACTGCCCCTCTTGTCCTCGGTTGTTTCTGTCCACCTTGGGCCACCTGGAACCAGCCAACCCTGAGTATCTTAGTGGAAAGGGGAGGGAATTGCTTGTGGTGGACTGAAAGTATTGAAGATGTGGTTGAGGTGTGAGGTCATGTTGTTCAACCTCTCTGAAGTCAGAGCTGCTTCTCCCTCATCCCCTAACATCTCCACAAACAATCTATTCACTTCCTGTCCTAGGCAGGAGGAGCCAAGGCAACCAGCTTGGCACCAATGACTCAGTTTGGGAAGGAGTGTCCCCAAAGGAAAGAAAGAAACCAAGGGGCTTGCCTGGTTTCCTTGTCATCTGGACCCTGCATAGACAGGCTGGCCATTGCAGCCAGAACAGAACCTTATTTCTTTTGCCTTTAAGCAGGATGCCCTTGAGTGTATTATGCTTTAGCATCATTTCAAGAAAATATATTCAGAGCCTGTAAGGCATGGATTTTAGGAAAGTCACACAAAATGAAGAACCCTGGGGGAATAAAATGGGGCCATTTTCTTCTGACAACATGTAAAAAAAAAAAAAAACCCAAACAAAACAAAACAAACAAACAAACAAAAAAAAACAATGTGATCTTACCTTCTATTCCTGCCTAAAATGCATGAACCTTATGTAGGAGGAAAAAAAAAAAGGGGGCGGGGTGGGGTGGGGTGGGGGAACTTAGCAGAGTGGCCCATCTTTTCTTTGTTTTGTCTGAGATGTTCCATCACCCATCTCCTTGACCTTGTTGCAAAGTCTGGCCTTGGAGTTCGTCTGTGGTTTGTGTGTGACTTAGCAGGGAAGCATTTTAATGTTGAAGGGAATAGTTCATTTTGAAAGTCTGCAGGTCGCCATGTTCCTTACGCTGGTTTTCATATCCTTGATCTTCAGGATGAGGGACAGACACCTGTGCTCAGTATTAGCTAATTATGTGGTCCTTAACTGGGTAATGGGTGTGAAGAGATAACGGATTATGGAACCATAGACCCTGTGGTGAAAGCCAACATTCAGGCCAGCATCAAGCATACTTGCTCCAATACTGAGTAGTGTTTTTCCAGTGTATGTTCAAGTGCATCATGGACAGAAATGTTTATCTTGATAGCAGCTGGGACACATTGGGGGGACTTATGGACTCCTTCCAGAAAATATGGGGTAAAAGAATGTATAGAAGAAACAACCTACATGTCCACTGACTGATGAGCAGACAAACTGGTATCGTTCGTTATACATTACACAAGGAGATATTTTGTTTTTAGCCTTTAAAAGGGAGGAAAGTCAATATATACTGTGTGGTGTTTTGAATGGGGATGGCCACCACAGGCTCATATATTTGAATATTTGGTTTTCAGTTGAATGGTGTAGGAATTATTTGGAGGTGTGGCCTTATTGGAGGTACACCTCTGCAAGTAACATTTATGGTTTCAAGACCCAGCCTTGCTCTCTGCCTGCTGCTTACCAATCAGTATATAAGCTCTCAGCTACTGCTCCAACACCATGCCTGCCCACCTGCCACCATGCTCCCCACCATGATGGTCATGGACTCACCCTCTGAAACTCTAAGCAAATCTCCAATTAACAGCTTTCTTTTATAAGCTGCTTTGGCCATGGTGTTTCATCATAACAATAGTAACCCTAATCAATATACAATACAGTTTGAATATCCTAAGATCATCATGCTAAGTAAAGTCAGCCATACATAAAGATTCCACTTGTGTGAGATCCCCTGCATAGTCAAATTGAAACAGAAAGTGTTGTGGTAGCCAGGGGTGGGGTAGAGGAAGGCCAGGGTGTTATTGCTAATGGGTTACAAAACATCATGACTGTATTTATCTGTACATTTAAAAACAGTAAAGGTGGGGCCAAATTTCAATGGTAGAGAACTTGCCTAGCATTTGTGACACTGTGATTTTAATTCCTAGCACCACAAAACCAAAGTGAAGCTACCTAGTGACACTATGGTTGCGGTGTTACATGTCTGTAGTACCAGCTACTCAGAAATTCGGTAATATAACAAAAGTGGAGTTTGCATCTTGATGAGTGCAAACTAAAGACAAACATAGCTGAGCAATAAGGTTGCAGAAAGATTCACTGCAAAGAGCTGGTTCAAGACGGAAAAAGATGGTACACACACACACACACTTGGGGGCATGCTTAGGTAAAGATGATGAAGCATATGTTTGCACGGTTAAAATGGTGGTCAGGAGTGCTTTTGGGCGTGCTCAGCCTGAATAATAAAGATGGCAACAGTAACACTTCTGGGCAAGCCCAACTTTTTAAGAGATAAAAAGGAAAAGAACAACAACAACAACAAAAAAGTTAGTTGATAAAAGGAAAGGACACTTTATTTTTTATATATATTTATTATTTTTCTTATTTTACATATTGATCTCAGTTCCCTCTCCCCCCATCCCATGCCCCCTGAGCCCCCTCCCATTCCATCCCCTCACCACTCCACAGGGAGGGTGATGCCTTCCAGGAGGGATCATCAAAATCTGTCAAGTTATTTGGAGTAGGGTCTAGGCCCTCCCTCCTGCCTCTAGGCTAAGGGAGTATCCCTCCATGGATACTTTAAAAGTGTGTTACTTTAGGAGTTTGTCCCTAAAACTTGAATCCTAACATTATTGTTATTTTGCTACAAGTGAAAAAAATGTGTTAAAAGACTTTAAATAAAAGTAATGTTTGTAATGTATACAATATGATGCGTGTGTTTTTCTCTTTGAATTGCAAACACTTACAAGTAGGACCAACTCTTCCAAGTCAGGCCCAACAATATTGCTCCAGCTCCACTCCAGAACAAAGAACTCCCCTCAGGTTTTAGACTGGGGTTTCCTGAGTCTTTACTATAATTTGAATTGGAGTATAAGACCTAAGGGAAGCATAAAAACAGTTTGGGAGCATTGGGAGGTTTGGAGATTAAATAAGAGCTTGCTGATGAAACATTGTGATGTGTGGCAGGTTCTCAGTGCTGGATAGCTTCTTCCCACCACGCCTTTTTCAAAGTGGAACACTCTCTGCTCTCAGCCTTCCATTGTATGCTTCCTCAGTCTCCCATCTTGTTCTTCCTCAAGTCCTGAAGATTCTTCCAAAGAAAAAGTAGAGGAGCTTTAAACAGTTAGAATTAGAACAGAGTTCTTGAGAAGGCCACTGCATCAATTATTGGAATTAAAGCATAAACTCTACTGAAAGCAAAGTAGCTGCCAAATGTCTATTTTCTAAATTGCCTGTGACTGCACTCCATAAATTTTGATTGACATTAAAGTACATAGCATCATAACTTTTTCTTTTTGTGTATGTAAACAGTATGGAAAGAGAGATGACTAATGGTTTTCTGTCATAGTTTTCAAAGGCAGGTGCTGATGGACTTAAACTACTCTGTCTAGACTTTGGAAGGAAATGCTATTGAATCTTTCAGTTTTCATTTGTATCCACTGATTGTCAAGCATAACCAGGGTCAGAATTGCCTGGGGGCAAGGGAAGCCATGGATGGACAGACTGTTGAACGCCGTCCTCCATTAGTAAGTTCAACTGCAATAGTCCTACTTATTTAAAGTTTTAATTGACACATAGAAATTGGACATATTTATGGGCACAACACTGCATTTTGGTTCATGTATACTCTACTGTATAATGACTAGATTAGAGCAATGGGTATGTCTGTCATCTCAGGCATTCATGACTCCTCTGTGTTGGGAACATCCAGTCCTCTCTACTAAGTATTTTGAAATCTTGTCCTTTCTGAAGGCACTGAGAAACCTTAAGTGATTTTATATAAGATGCAGATGAGAAAGGAAAAAAAACTAGCATTCTTCATATTTTCTTCCTAATTTTATCCATCACTTGGGTCAGTATAGAGGCTGATTTCCATCCCAGAGGAATGTGGTGCACGTGCCACTGAGTATGTGATTTCCAGATGAACAATGTTTGTTGTTATCGATGCTCCAAAATAAGGTTTATTCTTCATTTTATGTGTATCCTTTTTTTTTTTGCCTATATGTGTGTTCATGAACCATGTGTGTGCAGTGCCATGGAGGCCAGGCGAAGGTGTCAGGTCCTCTGGAACTGAACACAGAGTTAGGAGCCACCATATAGGTGCTGAGAATCAAACCCAGGCAACAAGTACTCTTCGCTGATGAGCGGTCTCTCAAGACCCTTCCAAAACATTTTAAAAATCTGTTTCCCATGTTTTCTATTATAGCGATCAGGACTGCAAGAAGATACTGAATACATTCAAAAGAGCCTTCGTGTCCAAGAATCCATGCAACATCACAAGGGAGGACTATGAGCCACTAGTTCAGTTGGTCACTCAAACCATACCATGTAACAAGGTAACAGGTATTCCTTACATATTTGAGAACAAAAGCCAAAGGGAAGAGGTCCCAGGACCAAAGTTAGGATGCAGAAAGAGAGGAAACCTTGGTATTAGACATCATTTGATATGGTTGATGGGGTAGTATTGGTAGAGGGCGGGTGTTGAAGACCTAGGATACCATCAGGGTTTAGGGTATCTGGAGAAGGATGATACCAGACAGATGGGACACAGAGAAAATCTAATATCAACCTTATCCCACACGAACAAAAGTAACTGAGGTTTGTATAATTATGGAACTTTCCCCTAGCTACTGATAGTATTAGGCAAGTAAATGATAATACCAGGCCAATTTACACTCCTAACCCTCACCTTCTTAGTTCCTCAGAGACATCCTATGGAGGAGGCAAAGCAGGAGTCAGAGTCTTTGTTCACCAGTGGGGAAGCTCAGGCTTGGTGAAAAGAAATTGCCTAAGTATATGAGGCTTTAAAGAAACACAAAACAGTTGACATGCAACAAGCTGATTCTGGAGTCAGAGAAGCCTACTTTTCAGTCCATTGAATATACTAGAAAAGGTCTGTCATGAGGTATAGCTCTTCCGGAGTCTGTATTTAAAGCACATTTCACATATGTGAAACTAAGTGAAGCCTTCCAACCCATTCACAGTTATTACCCCTCATCCTATTGGCAGTGAGCTGGAGATTTCTGTGGATCCTCCCCCAGGAGTACCAGTACAGAGCTCTGAACAGAAGGCGTAGATGGTAGACAATAGTCAAACTTCTCTGAAAATTTACTGTGTGTGTGATTTACTCTGATAGTTTCCACTCTATTTTATTTACAAAAGGTTCATTGATTGATTGATGATTGATGATTGATTGATTGATTGATTGATTGATTGATTGATTGAAGTTCTGGGGATAGAACCTGGAGCTGCATGCATGCCAGCATTCATTCCTCTATTGAGCCACATCCCCAGCCCTTGGATTTATTTTTCAGCCTACTAAATTGTGTGTTTATTCCTTCTCAGACTCTCTTTTGGAGCAAGTCCAAACACCTGGCCCATGAGTACACCTGGGTCCAAGGGAAGATGTTCACCCTGGAGGACACTCTCCTGGGCTATATGGCTGATGACCTCAGGTGGTGTGGGGACCCCAGCTCTTCTGGTAAGGATATGAAGCACCTGGGCTGGCTCGGGATGCCTGGGAGTGGAGCTTTGAACTGAACTAAGGACCCTGTAGGCTAATATCCTGATGATCATTGAGGCAGGTAAGGGACCTTGAAAGGTCAATAGGCACATATGCTAATGCCATCAAAGCCCTTAATGACAGGTCACACTCTTAGAAAACAGCAATCCCTGTCCTCTGGAAGAGTAGAAAGTGCACATGTGGAGGAAATGGCTGACTCTGTAAGAGAGGAAGCAGAGAGAGCCAAGAAAGGCTAATTGCTCATTTTTGCCAATCCAGTCCCATGATATCTAATACAGTCTAGAGGAAAATCTCCCATGAATGTCATTAATCCATTCACGAGGATAGAGTCCCTCGTGATCTCAACTCCTCTTAGCGGTCTCATCAATTCAAAATACTGCAATTGAGAATTAAACTCAGTCTGAGTGTTGGAGAAGCAAGCTGTGTCAAACCATAGTGTTACTTTATAATGCTGCTGAGGTAAGACATCCCTCACTTGCCCTCTCTACCCTCCTTCCCTGCCCCTCCCGCTCTCCTTTCCTCCCTCACCCACTCCATCTTCCCTCTCCACTTCCTCTTTCTCTTCCTCTCTTTCTGCAAGGAATGACCCCCTTAACCTTGATATGTCATTTCATTCTGCATTATGAATTCTTGAACATTACTATGAACCACTTTTCAAAAACGTTTTAGAATTATATATATGTATATGGTATGTGGTATAATGTTTACTTTTAAATAGACATGGTGAATTGATTGTTACATTTGAGATATTTAGCATGGGCACCTTAAGGTATTATCCTCACTGTTTATTGGTGGTCTTTCTTTCTCTCTCCTTCATAGCCAATCATCTATTTGCCGAGTGATACATCTATTCTTCATCTCCACTCATACTGCCTGAGTCCAGTGCAATAACACCCTCTCTTGCTGGGAGAATTGTAATGTTATACTGACCACTCTTTACCCCTTTAGGCTGGCCGCCATCTGACACTGCAGACTTTTTCTTTCAGTGAAAATGTGACCGTGCCTGTCTCTTTTTGAAAATCTAACAATCTCTCTCTACCTCTAGGCTGGTTGTCTTGGGTTCCTCTGGTTAGCATGCCTCTGTGTTTCAGGTGCCTCGTCTTCCATCGTTCTCTTTTTCTGATCAGGGTTCATCACAGCTCTTTGCCTCCGCATCTACCCATTTGCACAAGGCGCCCTTCTCTTTAGAGTCTGAAGACAGTGATTCTTGTCCAAAGCAAAATTCAACCTGAAGTTTTTTCCCTGTAATATTGCATAATACAAGTTAATCTTTCTCTGGTTGACTTCCCTGCACGACATGCTACCTGAGGCAGGGCTCTCTCACCTGATTCTACCCTCTACCTCCAGTAAATGTTTATATATTAAGGCAGATAACAGTGTCACAGAAAACTACATATCCACACTCAATGCTTTGTTCCATGCTAAAGGCAGAGAACAGTGTCACAGAAAACTACATATCCACACTCAATGCTTTGTTCCATGCTAAAGGCTGAGCCTGTTTTGATGGGGTTGGCTATAGAAAGCCTGGCCACCCGAGCCCCCAAACTTCTGGAGGATGAGAAGGAAACTCTCCGCAAGAGAGAATTGCCGGGAACCAGAGAAGTGTCCAGTGAATGTGTCTTCTTCCCGAAAAGGCCTGGCCTTCTCTCTAAGTGTTCCTGGACTCCAGGGGAGTGATGGGGGCTGGTCTCTTTAGGGCAAACTTTTGTTGCCATTTCCCAGAATGGTGAGTCGAAACCCATCACACTATTCTTGTCTGGGATCTAGAGGCAACGGCAAGGAGTTAGAAGGAATTCAGGGAACACTTAGTTAAATTTGATTGAGATGTGTCCATTCTCCAGCCTCTGCCTTGGCACAGATGCTACTGGGAAACCCTCCCACTGTGGTTGGACAGCCAAGAATGAGCCAGAATGTACACTTCCTTTTCCACTCTAACTATTTCCTATAAACTATGTGTTTTAGACATGAACTATGACTCTTGCCCACATTGGAGTGAAAACTGTCCCAACAACCCTGTTTCAGTGTTCTGGAAAGTGGTTTCCCAAAAGGTAAGTTCCAAGCAATTCGATTCTAGAGTTTTGACTGAAGATAGATACTCTTTGGTCAATGGTTGGTTGATCTTGAGATTTTTTTGGGTCACACATCCTTGTAGGGGTAAAAGTGTGGAAATCTTCACTGGGAACAAAAGCTCAGAGATAAACGCTAGAAGACTTTGCCACCCAACTTGAGGACCACCCATGGAGGCTTTGCAAGCTCAGAGAAAGAACCCTACACCCAGTGTGAGAGTAACATTCAGTGGCTATGTCTATCAGGAGGAGGCTAGGTTTGGCTTAATCCAAGGACCCAGACATTGGTTGGATTTCTGGAAGAGTTTTAATAATCTGCATTCATAGGCCACTTAATATGTGCCCACCTCTTTGCAGGAGTTAAGATTTCTATCTTCATAACAACCATTCGAAATATCATGAACATCATGGCCACTTTAGAGGTAGCAAGATAGATGGAGGTGCAAGTAGACATGGAAGCTACTAGCTGATTCCAGATCTAGAATCTGGGGTGAGAAACATGAGCTCACTCACCTGCATCTAACTTCACTTGAAGTTCCTTAGGAATTTTTATATTTACTCACTAGTTGTGTCTCTGGAAGAAAATGCCCTTTGTAAGTAGCCCTTTCCCACAGTGGGGAAAGAATGAAAATAATCAGGAAAAACAAGTGAAAGGAAAAGAGAAAAGCACAAACATATTGGTTATAAGTTCGAATTCAATACACATCTGGGGAGGCGTGGCAAATGGAAACTTGAATTTGCCAATGCATGTGCCTTAGTCCATTTTCGATGCTCTAGCAAAAAGCTATGGTCGTGTAATTTAGAAAGGACCTCAGTTAGGATAAGTGCCAGCAGGTCAAAGTGGTAGTGGATTTGATGTCTAATGAGGGCTGTTCAGTGTTTCTCAGATGCCAACTCATTGCTGTGTCCCCGCATGTCAGAAAACAAAGGATGCTTAGAGAACTTCCCTGAGCCCCTTCAGAAGGGTGCCAATGCTATTCATGAGTGCTCTTACCCATTCCCATGATCACAATGGTCCCCGTTTCCAATTTATGAATTAGGGGCGGAGAGTGGAAGAACACACATTCAAACCATAGCAACCCAATGATTTCAGGCTCATTGAGCCCCATGTCTCTATGCCATTCCCATTTCTCTCTCCCAATAGGTAGTATGAGAATTGAACGAACTGTCACATTCGAGGTGAAGAAACTAATATTCTCAGTTTAAGAGACTCATTGCAGAAGAAGGAGAAGAAAGATTGTAAGGGTCAGAGGCAGTGAATGAGTACAAGGAGATCATATCTTCTGCACACAACAGGGCAGATGCACACACAAACTCACAACAGTTGCAAAAACATGCACATGACCTGTACAAACATAAGAACGACCCTGAGCATGGAGATGGGAGGTGGGCACACACTAGAAGGGGATCTCCTGGCAACTGATGGCTGCTTGGAGAGGAGCCCGTTTTCTTTAAGAGGGCTGCCATGCTCTGGGGACAGGCCACACAACCACAAATATCTAGCCAATAGAAGATGGATATGATAGGGAGGGGACAAAAAGAGGACACAAAGTTGGGTGGTGGTGGTGGGTAGATCTGGGACGAGTTGGGCAAATGGTGAATATGGTCAAAACTCATTGCAACAAACTCTCTAAGGAGTAATAATTTTTTTTAAAGAGACTAATCCAAGGTCATTGGCTGTCAAGTAGCAGAGCTGAGACCCTAGTGTAGATCATCCTAATTTTAGAGCTATAGTCTTTACTTCATGCGGTCTGCTTACTGGTTATGTCATTTAAATGACAGGGAATTAGATCAGTGATAGAACACTTGCATAACTACAGGTGTGTTCTTTATTTCCCTGTATCAACTAAATTCCTACCTTAAGGGACTTAGGAGTATAGTGGTGTAGTAAGAAAGAGAATTTACGTGGAAGTGAGGGGACACTTTTTTTTTTTAAAGTAGTAAGTAGTTTTTTTTTTTCATTTTATTGAAAATAGATTCTTTTTTCATCCAATATATCCTGGTTATAGTTTCCCCTTCCTCTGCTCCCCCATCTCCCCTCCTTCCTCTAGATATACTCCCTTTTTGTCTCTTATAAGAAAAGAACAGGCTCCTAAAAGATAGCTATCAATCATGACAAAATAAAATATAAAGGATGAAGCAAAAATCTATTGCACTGGGGCTGAATATGGTAACCCAGTAGAAAGAAAAGAGCCCCTAGGGCAGACAAAGGAATCAGAACCCACTCATTTATATGACCAGAATCCTATTTTTTAAAAATGCTAAGCTGAAAGCTATAATATATACTCAGAGATCTTGATGTAGATTCATGTAGGCCCTGTGCTTTCTGCTTGAGTCTCTTTGAGTTCATGAGCATTACTCAGTTAATTCAGATGGCCTTATTCTTAGAGGACATATTTTAATAAGCTATTTCCTTAGACATTCTGATCATAGATTTCTCATTTCATCTCCATCAAATTTAGATCAACACACACACACATACACACGTAGTATTGTAGGTGCATCTAAATAAAATGCCACTATCTTATTAAGTAACAGAGCCCTTACCTATTGAACAAGTACTTGTTGAACGCTTACTACATGTTTGCCACTAAAGGTGCTAGAAGAACCACAGAGTTCTTCATACTGATGGCTAAAGCTGACAATGAAATGTATTAGACACTGAGCATAGATGTCACAGAAGGAGTCTGGGTCTGTCTCCAGAGGAAGTTGGACAGTACTCTGTTCATATTGTTTGCTCCAGTTCTTAGCAAATTTTCCAGATGAAAGGTGGTTGCATGAAGAAATAAAACTCCTTCCCTGTGAGTTCGAGGACAGCCTGGTCTCCCTTTTCCTTTGAGCCTTTTTAGAGTCTCCAGATCGCTGACTCTTGCCTAAGTTTCTCTTTCAACAATGTTCCTTTTCTCATACCCCTAAATTGTCCACCTTGCTACTAAATAAGATGTGGCCTTTGTGTCCTTCCTCTAGAGATACTCTTTTTCCCATTTTAGACTTTCAACTTCTTCATCGTTTACAGGCTGGCATGGCTGTGTCAAGAACCCACGCAAAGCCAATACTTCCAGTGACCTGGACTATTGGATAGATTCACCATTCCTGTGTTGAAAGTATAGAGACTAGTAAATACTACATACTCTTTTGAATGAAATTACTGAATGGAGAATAATGGTGGACTTCTTTTTTAAGTTTGCAGAAGCTGCCTGTGGTGTGGTCCAAGTGATGCTTAATGGGTCCCTCAGTGAACCATTTTACAAAAACAGGTACGTCTTTCCTTTTTTTGTATCCTGCTTGCAAGGGTTAGTTATTGAGGTTACTGTAGTCTCCTAATGGATATGGCATTCCTAAAAAGGATGTGCCTTTTTTCAAGTCCTGAAGAGCTGAGCTCAAAAAGAGCAAAGATTTTGTATTCTCTGAAAATATTTTTCTTCCTGGGCCAATGTTTGGTCTGGTTTTTCCTTTGTATAAAATCTTGCATCACATGGTTTCTAGCCATCGCTCTTGACTTTTTGAGGTCTCACATAATTTTCTCAGCTCTCTTTCCCCCTCGTATTCTACCCTCCTATTTCATCTGTACTGTCTAGCCTGCCTCCCCAATATATCCTATCTGCATCTTCATCATTCAGGAACGATGGCTCACTCCTCTCTCGCCTGTGAAGAGTGGGAATCCCACTTGAACAATAGAAGTATCACTGGGACATCAAAAGCCATGCTGGGCTCTGATCTTTATCCTCTGTTGGCAGCATTGTCAGCAAAGAACACCAGAGATTGTTACACATACCTTGTGTGACCTTGGGCAGGCATCCACCCTCTGGGAGTCCCTGTATACATAAGTGATAAAGTGAGGAAGCTATAGAGATAAATCACGATATTCTGTGGATGGTACTGAGCTCCATGCCTGATGAAAACTCCCCAGCGCATATCAGCTATTATTTTATCATTTATTCCTCAGAACTGAAATGGCCCACACTCAAGCTTTCCATCTCTGGCTTCCTTTTCATGTTGGTTCTACCACATCCATGGCCTTTGTTCCTTAACCTTCTCTGATAAAAATCTTCTGAAGGCGGAAGCACATATTAATTTTCTCTGGGCACTCTGGGTTCCTCTCTTCTGTTTTTAGTATTTAATTGCACAAAGCAGCATTAACCCTTTTGTCTTCTTCTGACCCTCTTTTCCTATGGCAGTCTGGATGAAAGGGCTAGCACTCAGAATCTAAGTCTCTGCCACATGTGAGGGAGCTGTTCACACTAACAAGGAAGAATTTGAGAAAGGTGTTGGTGAGTGGAGGCTCTGGTTGTAACCAGCTCTCTGTAATGCTACTCTTTGAACATCAAGTGTCTTATTTATAAACATTAGTCAGCACCAAAGTATAGTTAGATTCTTACCATGAGCTGGGCAGTGATGGTGCACGCCCAGCATGGGAAGCAGAGGCAGGCAGATCTCAATGAGTTTGAGGCCAGCCTGGTCTCAAAGAGAGTTCCAGGACAGCCAGAGCTGTAACACAGAGAAACCCTGTCTTGAAAATAAAACTTATTTTTGGACATCTGATAACCAAGAGTCATATTGAATGAAGAAGGGTGAGAGGCAAGGTAGGCTCTATCAGTGGTGTCTGGCTGGATGGTGGCAGGAGGTATGGATGGCCTGCATTTTGGCCTGGGGTCAAAGATGTTATTTATCTCTTCTGTTTTAGCACCTTTGGAAGTGTGGAAGTCTTTAACTTGAACCCAAATAAGATTCATAAACTCCAAGCATGGGTGATGCATAACATCGAAGCAGGTTCCAGGTATGTCACTACTTAGTATAACCCTGTGAAGAAATCCAAGGTCACAAGAACACACTGGGAACAGACAGGCTCAGCAGATGAAAGGGGATTACTTTGCACTTAGCCCTCCTTGTAGAGTCTTAATTCTGTCTCCACAATGGACAGGGAATGCTTCACACCCTCGTTCCTGCTGACTTGAGAACCCCAGAGGTGGACATATGATTCACCTCTATTCAATGCTGTTCCCTGCAATAGTTACACAGAGGAAGTAAGACACTCAGAGAGTGTTTGAAAGATATTATTATTTAAATATTTTCTTTCTTCCCTAGTAACTCATGTTCAGGCTCCTCCTTAAATGAGCTGAAGTTGATTTTGCAGAAAAGGAATATTACTTTTGCCTGCCAGGATAACTACAGGTAACTGATTTTTCTTCTCCTTCTCCTCCTCCTCCTCCTCCTCCTCCTTCTTCTTCTTCCTTTCTTTTTTCTTTTTTTTTTTTTTTTTTTTTTTTTTGCATATAGAGTATTTTTTATTTAATTTTATATAACAAAGTCCAATTAAATGAAAACAAACATTTATACACAATATTTGGGAATTTGGGCGTCGTTCTTTCCAAACTACTTCCTGCTGGTAAGGGGCGCTGTCTTGGGGGATTCGAAGAAGATTCAGATATCCTAGCTGTAGTCTGTAGGGCTGTTTTGTCCAGCTGTTTGGAATGTAGGATCAGCTTGTACTCTGTTTCAGGCGGTCTGGTGTGATCAAACCACATTAGTCTGGAAGGAATCCACATCTTTTCATTTTCTGTGGAAACAAAAATAGAAATACTTTCCCAGTAACTTGTTCTTCAACTCTTTTTTCTTAAAGACTGATTTATCGTGTATACAGTGTTCTGCCTACATGTATGTCCACATACCAGGAGAAGGTGCCAGATCTCATTATAAATGTTTGTGAGCCACCATGCTAGGAACTGAACTCAGGGCTTCTGGAAGAGCATCCTGTGCTTTTAACCTCTTTGCTATCTCTCCAGCCTCTTAAATATATTATTTTTTTTTAAATGTATAGGTATTTTGCCTGCATCCATGACATGTGCCTGGAGGCCAGAAGAGGGTATTAGGTCCTTTAGAGTTGGAATTATAGATTGTTGTGAGTCACCATGTGAGTGTGTGGAATTGAACTTCATCCTCTGAAGAACTGTCAGTGCTCTTAACCACTGAGCCATGTATCCAGGACAGTAGTTGATTTCTTGTGAACAAAACAGCTCTGAGAGCTGAGAGGACTTCGGGGATCCCTCTCAGGCCTTGGTAGTGTGTGATGTATGATGACCTTTGCCCTGCCACCAAACCTAGCTTGTTTCCCTAGCCAATAACTTAAATCTGATTGCCTGACCATTCATCCCCTTCCTCCTTCCTTGCCAGCCCTAAGCAGTGGCTTGCTCTAAAAGCTGACTGACCCTCGGAGGACACGCTTCCTGCTTTACTGCTGGGCTTCAGGGGAACCAAACATGTCTCACCAAGACTTTTCTCCCAAGTTTTAAAATTCTGTGACTGGCTATGACTGGATGTGAGATCTCCTTACTTAGATTCAAATGTAAATGCCTATTATTTGGTAAATTTCCACATGACAGTCTACAAAGATTTATCTTTCAAGATTAAAACCAAAACCAATAATGCAAATTCTTAACCCAAATTTACCATTACTATAGGCAAGTATATATCTTTAAAGCTACCCATTACTTCAAAACTGGGGGCCCCTCATTGTTTTTAATTGGTTATGGTCAATGATACAGACAAAGACATCTGCCTCTACAAAGAATCACTTTTGGAGCTTTTTCTATGAGGACTAGCTTCAACCAAGGCAAAAGCATAGAGAAAAGGCTTTGTAAAGAATGCACAAGCTGAAGAGATGGAATGTTTCTGTGTCTCTTCACATCACCTACCATAGCTCAAAGGCAGGAGGACAGATCTAAAAGATGGATGGCCCATTTCCCAGGTGACCGGAACTTCCCATCAATCAGCTGGCTGTTCTTTGGAAACTGTCAGAAAAAAAAAATCCATCAACATGCTGCAGAAGTTAAATGAAAAAAAAAAACAACAACAACAACAGAAGAAATGACCAACTATAGAAGAAACCCTGTAGACTGCTGACTTGGCAAGTCATTCTAAGTCATTCAAAGATGCTTTGTATGGAAAAGAGTACTAGAGGACTAGGAGAAGGTTGCAGAACACCGTCTCCATGGTTTTGTTAGCTCACAATTACGAAAATGACAGTCTTTTTAATTTGCCAGTTAGATACTGAACGTGTGCTATGTGTACAGGGAGCATGGTCCTCTGACAGTCCATCCAAACCTCTTAAGGACAGTCCCCGAGTTGTGTGCTGTCTCATGCTTTCACCCAAAAGTCATTGGGAAGCTTCCTAATGAAGAAAATCAGAATCCTCAAAAACTGTGGGTGGGCCTGGTCTCAGCGGTCACATCTGCTGTCTCATGAGCATCAGCTGTCATGTACTTGGGACATATTTGAACTACATGTTCTTTTTTCACATCCATACATATTCTGATCACACACCCTCCTTGGTATTTATTGCTATGGCCTTACAAGTGAACTGCAACTAACCTGGGGCATACTTTTGAGTCATTTACTCCTGGGTTAGGCATGCATTTCTCAGTGCTGTTGCTGAGGGGAGGCATGTGTGTGGATGCTCAGTGGTCCATTTCCCTTTGGTTGCCAAGGAAGGTCTTCCTTCATTGATGAGCTGAATAATGGGTGCATCATTCAGTCTCTTTCCTCTTAAATTTTTGTTACATTTTTATTTATTTATTTATTTATTTACTGTATGTGTATGTGTCTGCACATTTGTGCACACACTATAGCTTTCGCCATGTGGGCATATGAGAACAACTTGCAAGACTCAGTGTCTTGCTCTACCACATGAACTTTGGAGATCAAATGCTCAGGTCATTGGGCAAGGCAGTGAGTGCCTTTAGTTCATGACCCATCTTTCCAGTCCTCATCCTGTCCCTTAATTTCCTTTCTTGTTTATCTCCCACAGGCCTGTCAGGTTTATTCAGTGTGTGAAGAATCCTGAACATGCATCATGTAGTCAGATATCTAAACAATTTGGCTCTTAGATCCCCTGTAGCATCATCATGATGAAAGTCTCAGACACTGAAATTCTCAGACGCTACCCTGATGTAAAGCTGACGGTGTCAGGGAGAGCCCTCTATTCCAATGTCAACGCCAGAGATGGAAGAAGTTCCCAACAAATTTTGGCAGCATTACATGGTCAGCTCAACTCTTCCTGTATATGACCATTGCTCAAGAAAAACCTATTCCATACAGCAGTTAAAATTTCATATTGTTATTTCATTTTAACATTCTCATGTGGTGTTTTTATATTTTGTATATTTGCTAACTTCTTTTTTTAATGGAACTAATAGCCTGTATTATTGTCCATCAAATGTTGTTGTATTAAATTGAATGTAATAGAATCTGAAATGTGATTTTTTTTTTTCAAGACAGTGTTTTTCTGTAAAACAGTCCTGGCTGTCCTGGAACTCACTCCACATCAAAGATCTGAATTAGAAGTGGGCCTTCCTACTTCAAATGCTTTAGTTAAGAAAATAAACAAATACCTCAACGATGTGGCCAATCCTTTAGGTTTCATTTAATTCCAGATGTAGCCAATTTCACAACCAAGACTATCCGTCACACTCGTTTCTTTGTCTTCCTCTGGTTAAAGATCCAGTTCTTTTAAGAGCACTCTTTTGCTTTTTAGTGATAGTTTTTGGAAAACCAGTTGTAACTAACCTGACACACTAAGGGGACGTTTGGATACAGGAGAAAGGGAATCAGGAACTTGGGAGTCTGAGTCCGTGCGCGGCCAAAGAAAAGAACCATAGATGTTCTTCTCACCATCCACACTTCCCTGGTTTTTGGATACGGTCTTACTATGTAGCCCAGGTAGGTCTTGAACTCATTGCAAACCCCTGCCTCCTGAGTGCTGGCATTACAAGCATATACAACCCAGCTTTCCTTCCTTTTTGGGATCTGCACTACACTTAGTGTTTTTAACATAGTTCATCTCTCACCGAAGGCAACTGGACTTGAAGCCCCCGTGAGCAGTCCAGTGGTTTGGAGGAAGCGAACGCCTGCACCATTGCACGAGGAAGGTGGGAGCTCGTTAACTTCCCGGTAACAGTTTATCAAAATGTTGCGCATAGTAAGCTGGAATGTCAATGGGATCCGGAGGCCCCTGCAAACTCCGGGATACCAGGTACCCAGTAACTGTTCAAAGGCCTTGCGACACATTTTGGAAGAGTTGGACGCTGATATTGTCTGTCTCCAGGAGACCAAAGTGACCAGAGATGCACTGACGGAGCCTCTAGCTGTTGTTGAGGGCTACAACTCCTATTTTAGCTTCAGCCGCAGCCAGCGTGGTTATTCTGGTGTTGCCACGTTCTGTAAGGACAGCGCTACCCCAGTGGCTGCTGAAGAAGGCCTGAGTGGTCTGTTTGCCATTCAGAATGGGGATGTTGGTTGCTATGGAAACATGACAGAGTTCACCCAAGAGCAGCTACGGGCTCTGGATAGTGAGGGCCGGGCTCTCCTTACACATCACAAGATCTGTATGTGGGAAGGGAAGGAGAAGCCCTTGACCCTTATCAACATGTACTGCCTGTATGCGGATCCTGGGAAGCTTGAGCGGCTGACCTTCAAGATGCATTTCTATCACCTGTTGCAAATCAGGGCAGAAGTGCTCCTGGCAGCCGGCTGCCATGTAATAATCCTGGGGGACGTGAATACAGCTCACCGTCCCATTGACCATTACGATGCTGGCAGTCTAGAGTGCTTCGAAGAAGACCCAGGGTGTAAATGGATGGATGGCTTGCTCAGTGATTTGGAGTACCAGATTGGGCCTTTTATGGATAGCTACCGTTATTTCTATCCAAAACAGGAGAGCCTTTACCTGCTGGTCAATGATCGCTGGTGCCTGCTGTCTCAACTACGGTGCCCGACTTGGCTATGTACTAGGAGATAGGACTCTAATCATAGACACGCTCCAAGCAGCCTTCCTGCTCCCTGAAGTGAAGGGCTCCGACCACTGCCCTGTGGGAGCTGTCTTGAATATGTCCTGTGTTTGTGCCAGCAAAACAGTGCCCCGCCCTGTGTACGAGTTTCTTCCCTGAGTTTTCAGGTACCCAGCTCAAGATTCTTGGTTTCCTAGTCCCTCATAAACAAGAACCTACATGGGGACAGCAAGTCCCGCAGCCCAGCCGTCAAATCCAGGTGCAGAAACAAAAAGCACAGAACCACAGATACTCATCCAGGCTTGAAATACATCAAGGTGGCTCCAGAAGATGCCAGAAAAACCTGATGAATTATTTTCTGCCTTCTAATTGCCTTCCCCGAACTTCTCCTGATGTAGAATTTCCTAGGCTGCCTCTTGTGGGCACTCTTGGTACCCCAAAGACTCCAGAAGAGGATGTGATAGCCACAACAGTGAATCAGCAGACCAAGATCTCTGAGGTCAAAGATAAGAAGGTGGTACAGATCTTGTTCTGGAAGTCTGTGTTGAGTGGGCCCTCACCCTCACCCCTCTGAAGAGGCCACAGGGAGTCATGTGTGATGCAGATTGTGAAAAAACCAGGACCCAATATGGGCCGGCATTTCTACATATGCGCAAGACCACAAGGTCCTCCTAATGACCCCTCATCAAGCTGCAACTTCTTCCTCTGGAGCAGGCCCAGCTGAACCAACTGAGGCCTGAGGATGTCTGGCTTGGTCACCCATACACAGGGTCTGATGCCAGGCCTTCTCCCCCTGAGGCTGGCTCTCTTCCTTCCTGCCTTCCTTCCTTCCTTCCTTCCTTCCTTCCTTCCTTCCTTCCTGCCTGCCTTCCTTCCTTCCTGCCTTCCTTTCTTCCTTCCCTCCTTCCTTCCCTCCCTTCCTTCTTCTGCTTTCTTCTCTTTCCTCCTGCCCTAGCTTCTCTTTTCCCCTAAGACATTCCTCTTCTTGCTCCTCCCTTTCTTCCTCTTGGTCCACACAAGAACCAGCTACCCTGGAAGTTGTCTTTTTAAACTCCCGGTGCCCTTGATGTACAATGTATTTGTTCATGAACAAAGTCTGAATCTTTGTTTCAGTGCTTAAAAGAAAAGTATTGGGTATGGGACTCATGAAATGGCAATCTTCTCTCTATGAGGAAAATCCACTCGTGCGCCTCTAAGGATGCTATACAATTATATATAACAAAGAGGTGGTTCTTGCTAAGTGAGACAAATGTGAGACAGCACTTAAATGCTTGGTGCAAGAGCAGACCAATGGAGAAGAGAGAACTATCAGTTATTGCATGAGGCTCTCAGCAAAGTGTAGCTGTCAGTCATCTCCGTTGTAACAACAGAACTCTTTGAGTGTATATAATTTTTTTCAATGCTATTTGGATTTTATGAGTTCTCCAGGAGGGCAAGGAACAGATTTGGGAGTCACCCAGGCAAACATAACATCCCCAGTTACTCCACTACCCAAGGGTGAGGTAAAAGATTCTGCTTGGCTTCTTGATATTGGTATATCCTTCAGTGCTAGAGAATACACTCATGGCTATGTCTGGAAATAGATTTAACAGAGGAGGACAGCAGGTAATGAATGGTCCTGATACTTAATTGCTTTATCAGTCCCAAAAGTGTTGCATACATCTGTCTGATGTGAAGAACCAACACATCACTCCCTACAACAAGCTCCAATTCTCCTTGTGAAATGGGGGTCATAATAATACCCATTGTCAGGGCCAGCTTGAACTGTGAACTTGACACAGCCTGTAGTTATGAGAGGAGAGAGTTGGTCCAGGAGCTCCCTAGGTCAGATGGGCCTATGGGTATATCTGTGGCAATTGTCTTGAGCAATAATTGATGTAGAAGGGTCTACTCCATTGTGGGCAGCATCAGTCCCTGTGCAGATAGTTCTGAACCATATCAAAAGCTAACTTGGCATAAGGCCTGTCTGTGAGCTACCAAGCGGTGTCCTCTGTGGCTCCTGCCACACTTCTTTGTCTGTGTAGTGGATTCCTTGGTTGACGATAATGTATCATGGAATGGCAAACAAGTATGCCTTCAAGCTCCTGCCTTGAGCTCCTGCCTTGACTTCCCTCAGAAATGCAAGTCAGTTTGGGCCAGAATATTTTATCACAGGAACAGAAAGGAAAGTAGAATACCCGCTCCCTGTTGCACTGTTTTGTGCATCCTACAGGAAGAGATGTGTAAAAGTTTTATGAAACTGTTTAACACTTGTGAGAACTCTACCAGTTCTGTTTTTAAGAATGGTGTTGGGGCTTGAAAATCCCTTGACAAGCACGCTCAGATTAGAAGCTGAGTCCTTGATACCTAAGGACCTTGAAGGGTAGGGTGGTAATAAAAATAGAGTTGTTGGTTCTCTCACCCATCAAAAGGACCAACTACAATCTTTCACAGGCTTTGAGTTAACACTTTCCCACCTAAGGGAGAAATAAATATCCAGCTATATTTTGAGAATGGTTTCTTCACAGTTGGCTCCATCTCAAATGAGATCCCTTCCAAATCCCTCCTCCTTTGACAAAGATGAAGAGGGAACAAACCCTCCGACCCCAAATCTAAGAATTTGTTTTCATTTCTTAAGACAATGAGGACTTCGGCTGCCTGCCTTGGCATTTCCAATCCAGTCCCTGCTCTCCTGACCATGGCTGACCAGTCGGATAACATTAAAGGTCAGGCTGACAGCTCACCTTCACAGAATGAGAAATATCCTCTTTCTTGGACATGAAGAAGGGTGATTAAGATCAATGGTGACAATAGAGGGAAGCTCGTGGCCCTCCCTGTTCATGCCACATTTGATTCTTCCCTGACCTATCATCTCAGTTCCTTAGTACCCACTATCATTCCTAAGCACACAATGCTTGCTGCCTGACATACTCTTGTCTGGCAGTAAAATTCGCTGGTCAAGCCAGGCAGTGGTGGCTCACATCTTTAATCCCAGCACTCGGGAGGCATAGACAGGCAGATCTCCGTGAGTTCGAGGCCAGCCTGGTCTACAGAATGAGTTCTGGGACAGCCAAGGTTATTCAACATAAAATCCTTGTCGTGAAAAACCAGAAACAAAATTCATTGGTCAAGTAAGACTGATTAGGTTTGTATACCAGTCAACCTGTATGTGTGTGATGTTGGCCAATGTACTTAGCTTCTCTGCCCGTTGGTTTTGTTAAGCAGAACGTGCATGATGTACATTGTAAGCCATAAAAATTGGAAAGTGGTGGCTTTGATTGTCATTATTCTCAAGACCTTGTTTTGTCATGCAGTAGGGAAAATATGAGAAGAGAGGCACTAGAGGGCAGCAGAGAACCTTGTGGAGGAGAGCATCAGTGTTAGGTGTGAGGATCACAATGCTTCTGCTGCACAGGCCAAAAGCTTCTTCACCCATTGTAAAATTGTACAGCGCCTACCTTGAAGGGTTTCTGGCATCTGAATGTTAGTTAATAAAGACAAGGGAAAGAAATGTAAAAGGTCATAATTACTGGCTAATACCAAAAAACACTGATGCCTCTCTTACGTTAAAAGGCTCAGAAGCATCTAATTCCCTATTCAATAATAAAAACGGGGAGGAGGGGTGATAGGCTAT